AAACTCATTCTCGCATATGCTGAATCGCAAAATGAGGAAGTGTACACAATTTTGACAGCTAAAACTCATTCTCACTTTTCCTGAATCGCAAAATGAAGAGTGCACACAATTTTCAGTGTACACTTGTAAACTCACAGTTACGGAATAGAGTCCGTGTTTACGCGAAAAACAATGCAGGTAATAATTTTCGTTGAATTTCATCAAGAATCTGTACATTTTATGCTTTTGTTTTATAATTCCTCGAATTTTAAGTGTTAGCAAGAACAAGCCGAGCCGAGCAAGAATCACACCTACCTGACGGTTTTGAAGTGTTTTTTGTTTAATAAACGCATGTCTTTCAGTTCTAGAAGAATTAAAGTCAGTAGAGACATATTTTTTTTTTATATAATTGCTGCATTTTAATTGCTTAATCTCTTTTGCACCAGAGCAACTGTCCAAAATTTCCAGCAGTAAAAAATTACGAATTGGCACAGCAGAAATGTAAAATTTTCTTACCATAGTAAAAAGTTTTTTTTTTCACCATAGCACTTTTCTATTCATTGGTACAGTCCCAGAGTAATACAATTTTTAAAATAAAAAAATAATAACTTCATCACTTCCTTAAAATTGTAAAGCTTGTTTTACTATTCTATTTAATTATTAGAGCATTATATCATTTTACTATTTTATTATTGCTTAGTACAAAATGTACGCATTTACTTACCAAACCTTTACTTGATTCGGTGATAGAAACAAGACCGAAGGATACTTAAGTATTTAAATATATATTTTATATTGCTGTACATAATTTTTTAGATTTTGGCATTCGTATTTTGGATTCATCTTATGCATTTGTTTAATTACTGCACCATTTATAATTTACTACGTTTATACGTAAACTATCTGCAAAAAAAATTAATTTGCAATACCTAACTCACTGTTTATTCGATGTTGAAAAATCCTTTTTTAATATTGCCTGATTATAAAAAGGCAATAATATGACCATCGAAATAGAAAATAAAGCTAAAAATGGCAACGTCTTGATTATAAAAAGGCAATAAGATGACCATCGAAAAATAAAATAAACATAAGAATGGCGGCGTCTTGCGCTTATTTGGAAATAGTACCACTAATCAATACTTATTTGCGTGATTTAGTTATTTGCAAATAAAAAATTAACTCAGCGTTTATACGGCAAATTTTACCATTTTGCAGATTGTTATTTGCAAATAATACGTGCGTATAAACGTAGTAATTGTCTTTTAATAAGATCAAGATTTGTCAAATGCTTAATTTTATTTATCTAATAATAATGCAGCACACAACCCTGAAATCTAAGAAAAATTCTGAGGAAGGCCATTAAATAGCAGCACACAACCCCGTGCCCTTCTCATATGGCTACAACAACAACCCAAAAAGTTTGGCTACTGTCTATACCCAGCAAACACAGTTTCAAACGTTTGAGAAAAATGTATTTCTCAATTTGATATCAAATGTTTTTCTCAAATGATTCTCAAATTGAAATCGTGGTTTAAATTTTACATTTGAAATTAATTTGAGGTTGATTTGAAGAAAGATGACAAGTGTCAAACTATATAAAATGCGCAGTTAAATCAAAAATTGTAAAAATTAAACTAAGATCAATTTAAAAAATACAATGAATAGAAAGAAATTTTCAAAGAGAAAGCCCACAAATAGTGGATTTGATGTTTGCACGGATTGAAGAAGCTGCAGCCCTTCAAGACGAATTTATTATAAATTACTTTATCTTAAGTGTTTCTTTTGTTATGTACATACATATGTACATCGGGAAGAAGAAATAAATATGAAACATACATTTCCTATAATAAATTTTATTTCCACATTTGAAGTACAATTGATAAATAACCTTTGAAATCGATTTGAGAGTTAAACATATTCTCAAATGGAGATCCCCTTTTTATTGGGAAAGCTGTAATTTTCAAATCAATATCAAAACATTTTCAAACGTTTGGCATTTGAGAAAGGCTTTCATTTCAAATCCTTCTCAAATGTATATCAAACCTAATTGTTTGCTGGGTATTGTTTTCGTTTTGAACGACTCAAAATTTGCCTATAAAATAATCTTTTAAAGATTTTCACTTTTCGTATAAGCTATTGTAATTATAATATGTTTTACTATACATTTATAAATATTCATGTAAAAAAAGATCAATATCGATGAAGAAAACGTGGTTCATTTTTTAAGTTTAAAATGTATAAAGAATTTAGAATCATAAATACTCTCTTGATATTTTTATACTACGTAAATATATGTAGGCATATTTTTGAAAAATTTTCCTTCATTTTGAATCCATATGTATGGTCACCGTATCCATAAGTAACTCATCATGCCCGTGCTGGTATATGGCGCAGAAGCATGGACAATGACAACAGCCGATGAGGCGGCTCTTGGAGTATTTGAGAGAAAGATTTTGCGGAAGATTTACGGGCCTTTACGCGTTGGTGAAGGTGAGTAACGCAGACGATGGAACGATGAGCGATGTATGAGCTTTACAACGACATGGACATAGTGCAGCGAATTAAAATACAGCGGCTCCGCTGGCTTGGTCATGTCGTTCGAATGGACACCGACGCTCCAGCTCTGAAAGTATTCAACTCGGAACCCGCTGGTAGTAGAAGGAAGAGGAAGGCCCCCCCTGAGATGAAAAGACGAGGTGGAGAAGGACTTGGCTTCACTTGGCATTTCCAACTGGCGCCAGTTGGCACTGAAAAGAAACGACTGGCGTGCTTTGTTGACCTCGGCTCAAATCGCTTAGGCGGTTACAGCGCCAAATAAGAAGAAGGAGAAGATAGTTGCTTGCATTGTGACGACGAAGACGGCGAAGGCGTGGCTTCTGTACCTGTACCTACAAGCAATGACGACGAAAGACGTGGCTGCGAATTGGAACTTCAAAGGGGTCCGCAGTAAATTGAGTTTGGAAGGCGTGAGAGGGAGCTTCTGAAACGAGAGCTTGTACTAGTTCGTCGTGAAGTCGAGTTTCTGCGAGCCAGTAAAAGTGGAAGCAGACCAGAGGACTTGCATCCTTCGGCAGTTTTTCGTGAAGGCTTGCTACAGGAGCAACATATAGCAACACAAAGCTTACGATCAACATAAAAGATGAGTATTAAAACATTAGGTGCGCTCACCAGCGAATTTAGTGGATCACCTGACCATTTCAACGTTTTGAAGAAGCAATTCGTTTTCTTAAAGTCGGCACACGATCTTAGTGAGGACGAAATAAAAACTTTGATTAGTATGAAACTGAAGGGAGGTACTTCATTCAAAAGCTGAACATTTGGAAATGACCTTTAGTGACTTACTATCTGATATTGAGCGAATGTATAGTTAGTTAGTTAGTTAGTTGTTTGGGTAAGGCACTGCTACCGGTAGGTCTATTGTGGCCCTAGCTCATCACAACACCTCAACTAGCCCCAGAGTGTCTATAAACTTCATAATAGACCCCGTCGACAGTGAGTGTATGTGCTCCTCTCTGGGCCAGACGTGCCCTATGCTCCTATACCTCCTGCGCGCAACGGCCTCACACCATAAGAAGGTGTAGGGGAGTTTTCCTGGCCGCATCGCAGAAGCGAGACAGGGCGCTGGGCCAGATACCTAGTTTGTACAAGTGTCCTCTGAGCCAAAAGTGGCCAGTCAAAAATCCTGTAATGACTCAGTTTATCCTTTGGAAGATTCATGAGTAGTCTGTATCTTATTAGATTGTAACCTCCTGATGTGCTTTTAACGTTGACCCATAGTGACACGCCAGTGCAGTTCCCTCAGTTTGCAATTGGCCCTTCTGAGCATATCCTTTATGATACTCGGTCCCACTGCCAGAAAGGGTTCAGGTCCTATCGGGGTCGAGGAAGCGGCTATTCTGCCCAGATGATCAGTCTCCTCATTTCCTGCAACCCTCATGTGCCCTGGTAACACATTAGTTAATCTCTACGCACATACTGATGGCATAGACCTCCGCTGGAAAGATGCTTGGGAAGGTTCCCAGGGGCACCGAAAGCTTCAGCCAGGGGCCGTACACGCCTGCTCCAATCCCCACAGGTGTTTTGGAGCCGTCAATGTACCACTGTATTGTGCTCGCCTGTATGTGCCTTTCCATAATAGAGGTACACGAGGTCGCCTTGCTATAAGTGTAGGTCCTGAAATTCCCTTTGAAGACAACCTGTCTGTTGATATCGTCCCTGGGGAACAAAGCCAGGGGGAGCTGTGTACCTAGTTTGTCCCTGTTTCTAGATGATAACACCTTGCCTTTGCCGAAGCCCTCCCTCGCAAAGTTGAGGAGGGTTCGCTTTGCAACCTGTTCAACTGAGAGATGCAGTGGCTCTAGTTCCAGCATTACCTCCAGCGCTGCCGTCGGGCATGTGCGCATTGCTCCCGTAATGCAAACACATGCCAGACGTTGAAGCTTAGAGAGGGTCTGCCTCACCGTTACCATAGTAGTCCTGGAATACCAAGCCACCGCACCATAAGGCACTATAGGCCTCACTATCATAATGTACACCCATCTGAGGATCCTCGGAGTGCACCCCCAGGATTTACCCGCTAGACGTTTGCACACCATCATCGCTGTCGTGGCCTACGAGGTGACCGCATCAACATGGGCCTTCCACAGAAGCTTGGGAGTCCAGGGTAAGCCCCAGATACTTAACCTCTGTGGCGACATTGACTACGGCCCCATCCAAGGTCAAGCTCCTCATCCCCTGAAGATTTCGTTTCTTGGTGAAGGGGACTATAGAATGTCTTAGAGAGGTTGATATTTAAGCCTACGTCTGCGCACCACCTATTTGCAAGGTTAAGACCTCTTTGGACGATGTCACAGAGAGTACTAGCGAACTCGCCTCTAGCGATAATCACTATGTCTTCCGCGTACCCTTCGCAACGGACGCCCTCGTTAGTGAGTATCTGTAAGAGTTCGTACACAACTAAGCTCCACAGTAGAGGAGATAATACTCTCTCTTGCGGGCACCCTTTTGTCGTTTGTATTTGAACGACGCTTCAGTTTCGGCGATCCTGGTCTGCAGTAACCTTGCTATCCATCGTCGGATGGTTAGCTGAACGTTATGTTTCTCAAGAGCTCTGTCGACTCCCAAATGGGAGGCGTTATCAAAGGCCCCTCGATGTCGAGGAAGGCACAGAGCACCACCTCATCACACTCAAACGCCCTTTGTATTTCCTCCGTTAAGGCATACAGCGTAGTGTCCGTGGATCTACCAACCCTGTACGCGTGCTGGTTGGAATGCAGAGGGGTTTGTTTCAGAGTGTTAAACCTGATTTCATGGTCAATAATTTTCTCCATTGCGTTTAAAAGCCTGATTATGGCAACTGAACTTGACTTAACGGAACGTAGAACTTAGAGAATCAAAATGAAACAGATTTCGACGTGGAATTAAGTTACGTTAAGTTTCGGCTGTTCAATTATAAGCAACACCCATTTAACAGAATTTTGAAGAGAAAGCCGTAAGTTACGTTAAGTTGCCATAATCAGACCATAACATAAAGGATTTGAGACTTATCGGCCTGAATGACTTGGATCTACCCACCCTGTACGCGTGCTGGTTGGAATGCAGAGGGGTTTGTTTCAGAGTGTGCAACCTGATTTCATGGTCAATAATTTTCTCCATTGCCTTTAACATAAAGGATGTGAGACTTATCGGCCTGAATGACTTGGATCTACCCACCCTGTACGCGTGCTGGTTGGAATGCAGAGGGGTTTGTTTCAGAGTGTGCAACCTGATTTCATGGTCAATAATTTTCTCCATTGCCTTTAACATAAAGGATGTGAGACTTATCGGCCTGAATGACTTGGCAAGATAGTAATCCCTCTTACCTGCCTTCGGTATAAAGATACCCTTGCCCTCTGCCCCACCTTGGGAATGTGGGCCAGTGCTAGACTGTACCACATAATATCCACAAGATGTGGAAGTAAGAGCTCCCTGTCCTGCTTCAGCAACACCGGACATATACCATCCCCTGTTTGCCGGTTTATAAGGCTTTTAGCCAGCCTCCAGTGCGGTGGGGATGGCCTGATGCACGGAACATCGCTTCCCTAGCGGTGGGAATGGCGTCCGGAAAGTGCGCCGACAGCGGGGCGAGTGCCCTTTCCCGTTCAGTACCCGAGAAAGTCCCATTAGGTAGCCTAATAGACAACCTGGTGCCTGTGTTGTCCCTTGTCAAAGCTTTATGAAGCCTAGCAGCTGCAGGAGTGGTCGCGATGTTCTCAAAAAAGGTCCTGAAGCTGCTACGCTTGGCTTTTCTAATCTCCTTATTGTACTTTGTCAGACTGACTGAGTATTCCTCCCAGTTGCCGGTACGCTTTGCTCTATTGAAAAGTCTGCGCACCTCCTTCCTAAGAACCGAGAGTTCCCGTGACCACCAGGGAGACTGAGCCTTCCCCTTAGACTTTGACACGGGACAGCTGGACGTAAAGGCATCTAAAATAGTGCCGTTCAGCCTGTTAACCCTGTCCTCTAACGGCATACAATCTACATTTCTTTGTTGTACCTCTACCCTGGGTAGGTTTAGTCTAAGTACCTCTTCAAATTTGGCCCAGTCTGTTTTCCTGGGGTTTCTCTTGGGGTTACCTGTCTGACGAACAGCTCCCAGTGCCAACCGGATAATCCTGTGATCCGACAGTGATGGCTCAGATGAGACCTTCCACTGAACGATCAGAGGACTGGCCAGTCTGTTGCTGAGAGTGATGTCAAGAACTTCCTCTTTGACCCTAGTAATGAACGTTGGTTCATTACCGACATTGTGAATGCTCAGGTCTTCGCTAATAATATATTCTAAAAAGCACTCACCCCTGCGGTTCGTGTCCGAGCTGCCCCCCTCCATATTGTGTGAGCGAATGTATAAGCCGAAAACAAGCAAAATCGAGCAACGAAAAAAGTTTGAAAATCGTGCATGGGGGAAAGACGAACCGTTCAGGAAATATGCTCACGATAAGATCGTGATTGGTAACCGCATCCATATTACAGAAGGAATACCGGATCGTACTCTTTGCAATCAAGCACGTATGCAGCAGTTCTTAACAGTAGAATCTCTAATAGAAGCGTTCGACACAATTCTATTAAAGTAGTCATCAGTTTTAACACAATCTAGCGCTGTTATACTATGTTCACGTTGAGCCTTTAACTCGAGTTTATGGGCCATTTTGGAGTTAAACGGTTAATACTGTGTTCACGTTGAGCCTTTAACTCGAGTTTATGAGCTATTTTGGAGTTAAACGGTTAACACTACTCATTAACTCTGAGTTTGCCATACCAAAAATTTTCGTTTAACTCGCCTCAAACACCACTTTTATTTGGAGTTAAAGTGAATGCAACCCTATTTTTTGCACGAATTTGGTTTGTGTCTCTCCATGGTTGTCAAACTTTGGCCGCACTAGTATACAAATTTGTCCGCACTGTCGAATTTTGACATTTCACAATCATATGTTTTGCTGTTTTTATAAGAAGTGGAGAATATCTGTTTGCGTGAAATTTGGTAAGTTTTTAAGAAAATTGCAAAATTTATCATTAATATGACATTTAAACTTGTATACATAAAACACAACTATATTATAGAATGGAAATAATCTTCCGGACAGGTTTTCAAAGTTTTCCCGAGCAGTGCCACCCGTGTTCTGTATAGCAGAATGGAACGTGCAGAAAATATAGAAACCTCGGCGAGAAAAAGGCGCAAGAAGAGTTTTTGAGAAGGCGGGGCAGAAGCTTGCTTTGTGGAGTTGTGGGGCCAGAGGTACAGGTAAGATAAAAACACGGAATATAATAATTAAGAAACATGCATACATATATGTATGTGTATTTGTGCTGAAAATGCAAGGAATCCGGCCTTCAGGAGGTTCGCCGGCGCAGTGGCATCTGTACGAGGCAGTGCACAGAATAATCGGAGGTCACAGAATCAACAACGTTGACGTTGTCGTAGAGGAGAGCATTCAAAGTGAATATTAATTTTTTTATTTAATTTTTGCTAATGTGTTAGCAGAACGCGAATAAGCGAAAGTAAATAAACAAACGTCAAACTAAACTCGGAGTTTATTAAACACCCCAACGAGAACACTTGACAGTTGTTCATTAACTCAAAACGTTAAACTCGAGTTAATATTTCAACGTGAACATAGTATTAGGCTGACGAAACTTAAAACTACTGATGCCAGGGTCTCGCAGAAGTGGGAAGTGAAGAAGAAAAACAGTTACAACTGCGGAAAACTGGGACATGAAAGTGGTGAATGTCCGATGAAAAGTCAAGGTCCAAAGTGTTTTAATTGCGGAGAGCTTGGACACATTGCATATGTTTGAGAAAAGCCAAGGAAACAAAGCAATCCAATATAGTAACGTACAAACCCTACACACGATACATAAAAACTGTTTTGATTGGTGGTCACGAAATTGAAGCACTTGTTGATACAGGCAGTGATCTAACGTTGATGTGTGAAGATGAATATGTGAAGATTGGGTCACCGATGTTGAAATCTTCAGAAGTGCGTTTCTCTGGGTTAGGATCACCGGCACTGATGTAACTGGGGAATTCGACACGGAAGTAGTCATAGACGGACATATTTTTCCGATTCAAATCGAGAGTCATTTCTAATGACATTGCAAGACATCGTCTTTTGATTGGAAATGATTTCCTGGTACGAAGAATCTTTCATGCCAAACAGGGTGTGATTTATATGGATAAAGATGACGACGAGGTTGCTGAAATTTTTCTAATTGATGTTTATAATGAGAAAGATGATTGGAAGGTTGATTTTTCCCATATAGAAGACCATGGACTTAAATCTGAAGTGGATAAAATAGTTAACGAGTATAAGCCGAAATAAAAGGTTGATACGACGGTGAGTATTAGATTAGTGCTTAAAGACAATGAACCTGTATACCAGAAGGCGAGAAGATTATCCCCAGCCGAAAGAGATATCGTAAACAAGCAAGTTGAAGAGTGGCAGAGCCAAGGTATAGTAAGACCTTCGACATCTGATTACGCCAGTCCGATAGTTCTGGCTAAAAAGGAAGATGACCCCCATCGGCTCTGCATACATTATAGATTCCTGAATCGAGAAATTGTAAGGGATCGATTTCCCTTCCCTTTAATTGAGGATCAACTGGATGGAGTTGAAGGTTCAAAAATATTCAGCACACTAGACTTGAAGAATGGGTTCTTTCANCCATGTTCCATGTGGTGTCGCCATCAGTATTTCAGAGGTATATTAACGCCATTTTTAGAGAAGAAGTCCATAAGGGCATTCTATTGACNGGCAGAGCCAAGGTATAGTAAGACCTTCGACATCTGATTACGCCAGTCCGATAGTTCTGGCTAAAAAGGAAGATGACCCCCATCGGCTCTGCATACATTATAGATTCCTGAATCGAGAAATTGTAAGGGATCGATTTCCCTTCCCTTTAATTGAGGATCAACTGGATGGAGTTGAAGGTTCAAAAATATTCAGCACACTAGACTTGAAGAATGGGTTCTTTCATGTTAAAGTAGACTCGCCAAGTGTGAAATATATTAACGCCATTTTTAGAGAAGAAGTCCATAAGGGCATTCTATTGACTTACATGGATGATTTGATAGTTATTTCGAAAGACGTAAATGAAGGTTTGCTAAGGTTGAGAAAGGTATTTAACATAACATCTAATGCGGGCTTAATCATCAATTTTAAGAAGTGTTATTTTTTGACGAGTCGCGTTGAGTTTTTTTTTTTTTATTATTTATTTGGTTTTTGTTATTTTGCATAGTCAGTGGGATCGTCGGTTCGAATCCTACTGAAAGAAGTCTGATGAGGAAATGTGGGGACCATGTTCCATGTGGTGTCGCCATCAGTATTTCAGAGGTATATTAACGCCATTTTTAGAGAAGAAGTCCATAAGGGCATTCTATTGACTTACATGGATGATTTGATAGTTATTTCGAAAGACGTAAATGAAGGTTTGCTAAGGTTGAGAACGGTATTTAAGATAACATCTAATGCGGGCTTAATCATCAATTTTAAGAAGTGTAAGTTTTTGACGAGTCGCGTTGAGTTTTTTTTTTTATTTTTATTTATTTATTTGGTTTTTGTTATTTTGCATAGGCAACTGGCTGAGTCAGTGGGATCGTCGGTTCGAATCCTACTGAAAGAAGTCTGATGAGGAAATGTGGTGATTTCCGAAATAGCTATCACTTCTACCATTTTTTCAAATTATTGTTGCTTTTCCACAATAAATTTTCTTTAAAAAACGGCCTCGAGCTCAATAAAAATTGTTGAATATAATTGTTATAAGGCCAAAAAATAACAAAAACAAATAACTTAAGGACGAGCACACCTAAAAGTTAAACATTCTAAAAATAGAATTATTAGCAAAAACCAACAATACCAACAACCACATGATCAAGTGAATTGCAGCGGAATAGCTGCGCTTGATTGTGTTGGCATAACAAAAATGAAAATAGTGGAAAAAAAGCAAACGATAATTTACAAGGCGTACTTAGCACGGTGCATAGGCAACTGGCTGAGTCAGTGGAATCGTCGGTTCGAAGCCTACTGAAAGAAGTCTGATGAGGAAATGTGGGGACCATGTTCCATGTGGTGTCGCCATCAGTATTTCAGAGGTATATTAACGCCATTTTTAGAGAAGAAGTCCATAAGGGCATTCTATTGACTTACATGGATGATTTGATAGTTATTTCGAAAGACGTAAATGAAGGTTTGCTAAGGTTGAGAACGGTATTTAAGATAACATCTAATGCGGGCTTAATCATCAATTTTAAGAAGTGTAAGTTTTTGACGAGTCGCGTTGAGTTTTTTTTTTTATTTTTATTTATTTATTTGGTTTTTGTTATTTTGCATAGGCAACTGGCTGAGTCAGTGGGATCGTCGGATCGAAGCCTACTGAAAGAAGTCTGATGAGGAAATGTGGTGATTCCTATCACTTCTACCATTTTTTCAAATTATTGTTGCTTTTCCACTATAAATTTTCATTAGAAAACGGCCTCGAGCTCAACAAAAATTGTTGAATATAATTTATTTATTTATTTATTTAATGTCTAAAGTTGTAAGTGGTACAGACATTATGAAAAATTACAAGCTATGTAGTTAAATTTTTGGTACAATTTGAAGCGTTAAATGAACTAAGAGTAAATACAAAGGCTAATCTAAATTTTTGCACAATAAATAGTTTTTCAATTTAGTATAGATAATTGATTTTGATTCCGACAAGTCAAGATCCAAAAATTTTGAGA